GGGATATTATCTTTTCAAGCACGCATAGAGTGCTTATGATTTTTTTTTTTCTATTTTAATGAGGCTGATCTTTAGGTTGAAGAAGTCGCATCATCAAAATTTAGGGTCCCAAAAATACTCCTAGTTATGGTTTTACGCGAGTGAGATATGAGCATGTCCTCCCCACGTAGACATGTAATCTTTTAATCTGTACTGTTGATTTACACATCCAAAGCATCTCTGCACTTGAATCAGATCATATTTGGAGGAGATAAATTTTGAGGTGATTTAGAGCTCTATACCTTATTTTTTATGTGAAGTACACAATCATTGATATCCATGGGATTACAAAACTTTTTCCCCTTTAGGTAGTTCAATCTGCTTAAATAATGGAGAGTTGAAAAGAAGAGATCATTACATACATTCATGATGAATCAACTTAAGAAATCAACATATTCATGTAGGAAAAGTATACAAAAACCATTTACCTTTGTTATAGGCCACAATCACCTCTAGCAGGTAGAATTGAAATTCGATAATTGAGGGAGTGTTATTGAATGCGCCCAAAGTCAAAAAACAACTTAATCAAACCTAGTGTTTGAAAACTCGTTGAGTCGAGCCAGACTCACCTGGTTCGACTCGGGAATCATCTGCTACCGAACCGGTTTCAAGAAAAAACCGGGAATCGCCCGTGTCCAGAGAGAACCGGGCGATTCCCAATAGTGAATCGCGAGTCTCATAGAAAAAATATTTTTTTTACCCGTGCTCGCCTCACGAGAATAACACGTGGCCACTTGGTAACTTACCTCACATGTCTTCCCCCTCGCTTTTCTACACGCGCAATGGAACATCTATTACAAAGGACTCTATAGGGAACCAAGCAACACTCATCCTTCGATGTGGGATAATGCCCACAATAAATCATTAAAGCAAGATGTTGAATATATATTATTATAGAATCAAATAAAATCACATGAGGCGATGTGGTCATGTTGGTTGACAACCTGGATTTTGCGGTGGATGTCTAGGGTTCGAACCCCTTAGCGCACAACAAATTTTTTTTTGAGTTTGAACCCCTTAGCCTTAGCTTACAACAAAATTTTTTTTAACAAACCCCTTAGCGCACAACAATTTTTTTTTTGAGTTTGAACCCCTTAGCCTTAGCTTACAACAAAATTTTTTTTTGAGTTTGAACCCCTTAGCCTTAGCTTACAACAAAAATTTTTTTAACAAACCCCTTACCGCACAACAAATTTTTTTTTTGAGTTTGAACCCCTTAGCCTTGGCTTACAACAAAAAATTTTTTTTGAGTTTGAAATTTTTTTTTTTAACAAACCCCTTAGTGCACAACAAATTTTTTTTTGAGTTTGAACCCCTTAGCCTTAGCTTACAACAAAATTTTTTTTTAACAAACCCCTTAGCGCACAACAAATTTTTTTTAGAGTTTAGAACCCCTTAGCCTTAGCTTACAACAAAA